AAGTTGAAGAGAAATTATATCTGGGGGTACGAGAACATAAAAGGTTGAATACCACTGACGTAGACAGTTCTAAAAAGTGTGGGGAATGTAAACATTAAACTTCTGTCGTTGCTCCATGTTGCTTTTATTGTCGTTTCAACGGAAATTCTGATACATTTAACACGGCTGTCTTATTGACAGTTTGCATAAAAGAAAACCAACTAAGATACGATCTGCGAGGTCACAGGTTCATATGACGCGTGCAAAAACCAATACTTCACCATGGCGAGCCACAGTAAGTATAATGAATTGGTTGGAGGATTCAGACTTTGTCATATGAGCGTTCTGAGTGTTTATTGACTTTAATAGCATATGTTAGCGTAAAGAAACACACTTATAAACGTATAAACTACAACGGTAGTGTCGGCACTGATTAAATTAAGTCTGAAACGAATATCAGGTTCATGAAGAAGCTGTGGAGGAACGGATTGAGGCAAAACACAAAATATTTCATTTTTGGCATCAGGAAACTCAGAATCCGGTTCTCAGCCACATTTTCTCTTAAAATAAGTGACAATGGCTCTCTCCCACACACAAAATCAGGAGAGAAAAAAAACAGAGTTAAGTATATTTTAATATTTAAATTTTTTACATCAGACCGAAAGGGAACGATTTCTGAACTTCGTGACAGGAAGCATTCCAGACAATTAATATACTCTTTATTTATTCGTGAATGCAATCTTCATTTTTTTAAAATCGTTCTAAAACCGCTTAGCTTACCTCTCAAACAAATTTTCATGTTAACAAATCAGTTAATAATCTTAAACCACTGAGTATGGTAACTGAAATTACATTTTAATCCCAGAATTATATTTACTTTTTGTAACACCTTACTTTAATTTGAAAGAATTGTGGATCGGTAAATAACTACCAGGATTTGAATCATAAAACTCCAGACTATGCTCGTATATGGGTCATAACATCACTGATTACAGAAAACGTAATGTTGCGTCAACGCACTTCACGTGTGAGTTCTAACCATAATGTGATTGAAAATACATTTAGGTATATACCGAGATAATGGATAACGGAAAATGTTTTTGTGCGCGTATGTTACAAAAAAATGACCAAATGCGTTAGAAGTACTGACACCTGAAACAATAATCACACTGGACACACGTAACAACTATTGAAGTGTCTATATGAATCGGTGCATAAGTTAACAACATCGTATTAACATGGTTCGTTGGGCAAATAGACTCAGAGACAAATGTTCCTCTAAATCCACAGATATTTCACGCAGACAGGTAATACACGCAAGTACATGCATATGTATATACAGAGTGAGTAACAACTGGATCTTCATTAAAATAAATTATAACTCCGAAATAAACTCGCGGCAGCCACATTGACCATATATAAAAATATACGAAAACAAAATTTAAGTTTGCTCCTTTATGATATGCCGTTGGCTCATATCATATCCGCAGCTTTGTTGGTTTCAGAGTTGTAATTTCTTTAAAAATGTACTTACGTCTGTATACCAGGTTTTAAGAGCCGGAATAGCTCAGTGGGTACAGTAACTAAGCTACGATCTGAAAGTCCGAGATTCGATTCCCATCACGGCACCACATTGTCCAGACCTTCTCTGGGGCGCACCAACACCCCTATCCCGGTTATTTGTTTGCGGGAGTGAAGTTGCCACTCAACTATATTTAGTGCCGAGGTTAGGAACGTGTGGAGCTTTCCTTCCACTCCCCATACGTCTGCATGGTACAAGCATAGTTAAGCACCAGGGGTCAACTTAACCTTTATAGGCCTATAGGATATTAGAACGTTCTTCAACACGACAGATGTAGGATTTGAGGTTCTTAAGACGGCGAGTATAATGATGGCTGTCTTCTGGGTTGTACTCATCGCCCTGATGATGGAGACAGCAAGTACCTCTGAAATATTTGTAAAATTCTACCAGACTACACTGCATTACTACCCTTAAGACTGGCAACGAACGATAAATGTTTAAAAATAAATGGTCTAGTAAAACAGTGTACTCGTAAAAATAATAAGCTCATTTTTACTGACACAAAAATATTCCATGTGAGAACGAGGTCATGTATTGCCGAATTATCTGAAGCAAATATGAGAACTCTGAATGGTCTCCCCTGGAGCTTCCATTCGCAGGAACTGGCAGCAACTTCTAATCCGCTCTAAATTCGACTTTGTTGCGGTTCTGTTGATGACTTGCTGACTTGTCTTTGTTTGGTCATGTACACGCCAATGTGGAGGAAACACACCAAATTCAGATATTCTGTATAGGACGCCACACAAAACAGATATTAAGTGAAAGTTACTGAATGTCTCTGAGTATTCAGCCCGCAGCCAGCACAGGGACATTATGCGATGCACAAACGACCGCTTATTCCCTCAGACACTGCAATTAGTAAATTTGCGTCAGTCAATTCTGCCGACACGTTATGTCTCGTGTACAGCAACGAGAATATTCACACGCTTTAAAACTTCAAAGTCCACTGCTGACTGTATGTACCACCTACTTTAATAATCAGTAAAGTTACATTTTGTTCGCAGTGTGTATGTGTGCGTGATTCTGAGAATAAACAGCGACCAGTTTAAGGAATTAACCAATTGGTCTTTGTAATGGAGACGTGTTCTGTATTATTTGTCACAAGGACTGTAATGTAAACAATATTTTCTGTATATTTTAACAAATTCTCGAATGTTCTCGAGTTCTTAGCTGCTACTGCATGCTTTTCATACAGTCGTCCAGATGTATATTAATCAAAATTACCCTCTTACTATGGATGCCAATAAATTACTTAACTTCCTCGCTCTCTCGGATTCAGAGGGTTAAAAAGAAGTACGATTATAGAAGCACTGATGTCTGGCGCGATGCAGTAACTGGGTTTCATTTACCTTAATATCATTAGTATTAATGTCAGACACAGTAGCCCCTCTTGGCACATACTCGTCCAGGAATACCTGTGGGGACCGGGGGTAAAGTTCCTCGCACTTGGTACAAGTGTGCGGAGACCAACGTCACACTTCATTTTATCCTCTGAAAAGCGGCCTGAATATCTATTAGAAACATCCCACTAAGACTATTAATAAGGCTGTATATGTTGTAAAAGTTAATATGTGCATTTAAGATGTCTAATTAGAATTATTCCTAAATTATCAACAAAGAGAAATACTTCACGCAAACACCTCATTATCTTACAAGTTCCTAAAATGTTATCTTAATAAACTTGAAAATGTTTTCAAAAACATGTCGCCTATTCCAATCTAAAATTCATATACTAACGACCTTAATGTTTTACCTCACAGCTTACAGGGTTGTCATGTTGATAATGTTACTGACAGCGAGATGAAAACCGATGTTATTTTGCATCTACTTTCATAATATTTGTAAAATACACGTTCCACGAAAATCGATCAATTAATGTGTAAAGTACTGATGTCAGTAACTGATGAATCAATGGGCGGATGTTCACATATGACGCGCGTGTAGCACAATTAGCACAATTATGAAAGGCGAGCATACAGCGATGGAAGAAAAACCATTCAAGGTCATTCAAAAGTACAACGCGCCCTTAACTTTGAATCCGCCGGATACTCTTAAACACTTGTCCACTTCCTTCCTTATCCTTATCCCTTTTGTAACTTTGCCTCCTCCATCCCTTTCAACTCAGAGCTGCAATGAACAATATCAGTCATACATCAACGTAGGCTAATAAAATTTGTCTTACAGTACCGGCACTTGTAAAACAGAACATTTTACCATCTAACGCCATTAGTACGAACGCTTAAATTCATCAAATCAATTTTACAACCTTCATATATGTATGGAATTAAGAGATTTAGACAATGTGACTGACCTACTCTGTCCTTTGAAGCACAAAGTACATCTAAATATTTTAAAAATTCTGTCATTGTCTCAAAAGAGACACGATGTGTGTCCACACACACATAAAACTGGTGTTTTTAAGTAACGACAGTATATTCGGCGACTGAATGGTAATCTCGGAGCCAATGTAAAATGTAGATGCATGAAATTACCTTGTATCGAAGCGTGGCTGCATATTTGTAAGAAAAAGACCACTTCAAGTTACTTGTTTGTAGCACCACGTTAATGAAAGCGTGGCTGCATATTTGTAAGAAAAAAACCACTTGAAGTTACTTGTTTGTCGCACCACGTTAACGGAAACACAATTTGAGCGGAAGATAAATCTGGAATCTGACTTACCTTACCTGTAACAGGACAAAAATGTTATATCAGCTTTCATTAGGAAATAGTACAATTCTGTCTTACGTTACTGCATTTTTTGAAGTCGGGTATGAGAAGGAACTTTCTTGTTTCATTAGGGACTGTTTTCAAATTACAATTTCTGCCATGAAACACATTTTTCATCATTTTATTGTATGTACAACTAGAATTAACTTTCAGTAACTCTGCATGGTGCTCAGCTGGTCAGTTCATGATTTTCCTTTGGTTTCCAGAAAATGTTTATGTAAACTTCATTACAAGACTGATCGGAGTTGTTTCTTTGGAGGTAGGAGCCGAGTTATTAAATATAATATTTAAACTTATAAATGCCTATAAGCCATATTTATTTTAATGTATTATTTGACCTACAGTGGGAAGACGCACGAAATCTTAAGTAGTGAAAATAATTAATTATGAAACCATATTGAGCTCAGAAATTTCAAGAAAAAATGTTACTAATTTTAAAAATTCAATTTTAACAAGTATATACTATGCAAGTAATACTGTAATATCTTACATACTTTCATCATCATTATACACAACATCATGACTTTTGTAAACATCGGTTCTTAATTTTTAAGAAATTTTGATTTATTTACAGCTGAGTTGGTGTGGAATACTGCAGAAACATTATTTTTAAAGGCAAAAGAGGACCCACATTTTATCCGAGTCGCAGTGAATTTCGCCTGCACTTTTTTCCAGACATATTTTGACACTAACTCGTAGTGGTATTTTTCAGATGTGAACTTGGTTGCCGAGCCAAAACCACATCAGACTGGTAGGAAAAGGCAAAATGTTGCGAAAACCGGGAACGACTGGTGAGTTTTTAAACCCCCAAATGTTAATATGTGTTTTGTGAAATCAATGCAGAAGGTTTTTGTACTGAATTTTTGTGATAGTTTTAATGCGGTGTTTAAACCATTTTTGCCTTTGAGAGGCACAGACATTATTTTCTTGTGTATGTGAAAATTATTTTTATTTTAATCAATATAGGCGACAACCAAGTAGTTTAAGGTATACTTGTGTGTTCTTTATGTATGATAATTTAACGTGTTAAATTATAGTACAGGATAAATAAAAATAACATTTAATACTTACAATAAAAATACATTACATAATGCCTACGTTAATAAATCTTAGAGTTAGAATAATAATTAAATTAAGAACACTAAAATTAAGTATACATTTTACTGTACTATTTATTTTTAAGAAATAATTCTGCATCCATAGATATTATATAGACAATTGTTTTCCTGACAGTATGATTCTTATGCATTTTTAAGAAATAATTCTGCATCCATAAATATTATATAGACAATTGTTTTCCTGAAAGTATGATTCTTATATAGTGGCTAGAAGAAAATCCTCTGCCCCTGTCGGAGATCGAACCTCCATCGTCTAGCCCGTAGTCAGTCACTGTACTGACCGAGCTACCCAGCTCTTAATTTATTTTATTCTTTTGGGGAAAAAAGCTACCCTAATATTTTATAAATCAACAAACAAAGTGTAATGTGAGCCCTTTTACTCTTTCCACCGCTGCGAGGTTAAGTCCGCACAAGTGTCGATTCACACTGTCAGATGTTCGCCATTTCGTGTTAATGCAACACCGGATGATCGCACGCTAATTACTCAAAACATGCACGCAGCAGTACGAAAGCGGGCACTATGCTCCAGACGTATGTTTTAATGTAACATACGAGGGTGAGTCAAATGAAAACCGTAAAACTGAGATAAAAATTCGAAATATCGCGCCATTGTCCTATAAGTTGGCAGACATGTTACCAATGCTATAAAGAGTATCCTATAGGTGGTAGTATAATGCAGACAAACATATCGCCATCACAGTGCCAATTTGAAAATGGCTGCTCCACTAGTTACGTGCACGAAAGAAGAACAACGTTCTGTAATTCGTTTTTTGATCAGTGAAGAATCTTGAAGAATCATCTTCGACCTGCAGTCAGATCAAAGCGACGTGGACTTTGGACTAGAGGTGTCCTTTTGCAACATGACAATGCTCGGCCCCACTCTGCCGGTGCAACAGTTGCAACAATCAAAGACTTGCACTTTGAGTGTCTTCCACATCCGCCATACTCACTAGACCTAGCCC